ATCTTGATTTGGGTTTAATCTTGAGGGAAATTTTATTTTATTTATTTTCTTTATCTATTAAACACAGTTTATTACTAAACCTTGTGTTTTTATAGGTAAGGGGCTGTTCAAATAATACGTTACTGTCTTAGGGGGGGGGGGAGGGAGTATTAGAAAGTGTCACTAAATGTCACATGGGGAGGGTGGTGGTTTGCCTCAGTGTGACGTGACAAAAACATTTTAAATTAAATTGTTTATCACTGCGTAATTTAATTAGTTTATATTGCAAACTCGGAGGTATTTATATATAATACTGTTTTCGAGAAAAATTATATGCAATGACTTCACGAATAGCGAACGTTTTTTGTTTAACTGTTATTTAACAAAAATTTTTGTTTTTGTTAAATGATTGGATTTGATTAATTTATATTTACTCCATACAAAATTATTTTTGTGGAAATTGTATGCATAAAAAGAAATTCTAATCCTACCAACATAGAACTAGATAATGGGCAAGTATCTAAAAACGATTTATATTACTATCAAAAATCATATTTTATTTTTTTAACACTATTTATATTAATAGACTAAAAAATTAAGTGTTATTTTCGCTTAAAATTAGGTCTTCGAATGTAATACATAATCGATATTATTCTATTTTCAATGTTATTATTAGTATTACTCTTAATTTTTTGTGTCACTCTATTGCAAATAATTGGTCTAATTACTTTATTATTTTATTATTACGTTATTATTTTATATTTATATTTTTATTATTCATTAAGTTAGTTAGATTGTTAACAAATTTTAGTATTAGTAATGCTATTGTTAACATTAATTCACAATGTTTTAGTTTTTAATTAATGGTTGTTAGGAAAATAAATTTGTTGTTGTTGTTATAGAATAAAAATGTCTAGTGAAAAGGAATAACTTTACAAATCTATTTATGAAGGATATTTAAAAGCATTTGCAAACAAACCAAAGCAAAAGTCTCAAGAAGAAACAAATAAAATCTGGTCTGAGATCAAAACAAAGAGCAAAACATTACTCAATATAAATGTAGAAGTTGAAAAAAAATTGAAAGAACTAAAGCAAATTGAACTTTGAAATAAAGTGGGTATTTTATCTTACTGGACAAAATTACAAAACTATACACCAAAAAAGCTTGTAATTGAATCTAAAATCACTTTTGATGACTTAACTGATGCAACCCCATCAATTCCAAATAGTGAAGACAGTGAAAAAGGCTTACAAGAAAACTCCAATTTGTTAAAAGTTTTAAAAAGACCTGCGCCAAAACAAGACAGTTAAAGAATGAAATTTTTATTTTACAAAAAGATATCGCATATTTTACTGAAAAAAGAAATTGCAACTTGTTGTCACAAGTGGACCACTATATATTAAGACAAAAACAAAAGCTTTTGATAGAAAAAAACTGAGATCTTGTACTTCGTCAAAAAGCCACTGGATGTCAAACAGCAACCAGGCTAAAAAGAAAAAAAGCAATAGAAGCTTTAGATCCTGATATTAGAAAAAAGTTGTGTGGTATTAAAAATGCAGTATCAAAAGGTCGACCACTAGCCTCTGATCAGGACAGTTTAATTAAAACGATTGTAGATATTGCCTTGAAAGGTTCTGCTTCTGATGATAGGAGAAGAACTAAAATTGTTCGAACTGTAAAAACATTAGATGACTTGGTTGAAGAATTGAAAAACCATGGTTACAATCTCTCCAGATCAGGAGTTTACTTAAGATTACTTTCAAGCAGATCTTTGAGCACAGAAGGAAAAAGACATGTTAAAACTGCACCTGTTAGACTAATAAGAGCACAAAATTCTGAGCATAAATATCATGCAGACACAAAATTTGCCAAATCATCCATCAGTGCCCTTGAAGAACTTGCTGCAGTCTTGGGTTTAAAAGAAGTGACTAGTAAAGCTAGGGTGCCAATTGGATTGACTGCTTTAAACAAACAAGCACCAATCATGATGCATATGGAGTACAAGGTAACTTTAGCTGATCGTGATTTTGTAATTGCTCCTCAACACAAACTTATTCCTTCAGTAATTGCAGCCATAGAAATCAAAAAAGATTGCATGGAAAAACAAGCAGTCACATACTCTGGCCCAACATACATAGCAATCAGAAGTGCAAAACATGATTCATCAACAGCACTTAGTCACTTTGAAGACATTAATAGAATCAACCATCTTCCTGCATTTGAAAGCAGCTTATTTACTGAAGATGGAGTTAGCTAACTAGTCATGATTATAACTGTTGATGGTGGGCCAGACGGAAATCCAAGATATGAAAAAACAATTCATTGTGCCAAGACTTATTTCAAATAGCATGACCTTGATGGCATGTTTGTGGCAACCAATGCTCCTGGCAGAAGTGCCTTTAATAGGGTAGAGAGAAGAATGGCTCCGCTAAGCCATGGCCTTGCAGGAATTATACTTCCATTTAATCATTTTGGAAGCCATCTTAATTCATGAGGAGAAACAACAGACAAACTTATGGAGAAGGCAAATTTTGCTAAAGGTGGCGAAGTTCTTGCACAAATTTGGTCCAACACAGCCATTAATGGATTTGAAACTATTGCAGAGTACAAAAAATTACCAAACAGTGAAAATCGGGTACAATTAAATTAGTTTGGAGCAGAGTGGGATGCTAAACATGTCAAAGAAAGTCAATACTTGCTTCAAATTGTAAAATGTTATGATCAAAACTGATGTGGTCACCGTCGCAGCTCACTGTTCCATCTTATTCCAACTGGTTTTCTTCCTCCACCATTTTCTTTGTTCCATGGAGAAAATGGTCTTGAGTACAATAATACAAAGAATAACTTTGCAAGCCTCTTTTTAAACTTATCACTAAGCAAAACAATTTTTCCCAAGACAATTACAAAAGAGTTTCCCAAAGAATTGCCATACGACTACTCATGTCCGAGCATTCAAAGTTCCTTACCAAAAAGAATATATTTTGCCACTATCAAATCAATGAAACAGCACAAAACAGTTTGCTTAAGTATTGGATTATTGAATGAGATTCAAAAAGTTAAACCTCGTCGTCTAGTTGCTCAACATATATCTGAACTCATGTGTGTCTTTTTAAATTCAGACAAAGAAACAATTGAAGGCATGATCATGATGATGTTGATACCTCTGATCTCAACTGGCCTTCAATAATTATTGAAGAGCATGGAACTCCAATACTTAAAGGTCAAAGTCCAATTTGGGAACAAATTTAGGACATGTTTCTTAAACAGAAACATGTCAATTGTATTTTTTTTAAATATGAGCTGTTACAATTAAATAGACATTTGTGAAAATTCCAAACTTTTGTCTTTGTCACGTCACACAGGGGTGGGGGTGGGAGAGTTTTTAAAAATGCCACAAAATGTCACATAAGGGAGGGGGGTCTCTAAAAATGCCTAAAAAATCACGTATTATTTGAACAGCCCCTAATGCAACTTAAAATTGATTTATTTTTAAATAAAAAAAAAAAATTATATTTTAATTCTTACCATTATGATGGTTGTTTACGATGTTTCAAAGACAGTCATTCTGGGTAACTCTGCATGCTTTGCTCTAGTTTTTACTCTATGTAAAATTTTTTACATAAAGGGTGTTCTCATGTTCTAAAATCCTCATTTTCTAGATTTTTATAATTTTTTTTAGTTTGCTAGTCATTTTTTAAGAAAACAAAATTCAAGTAAGGATTCAAAGTTCTACTTGCATTTAGGGTAACTTTGAATATTATTAAACTGTCAATTTTAAATACTAATAGAATATTTTAATTAATCTAATAAGAATATTTTGACAATGAACATACAAGTTATTTAATAAATTAATGCAAATCACTAAATAAAATCACTGAACTTATTGATCAAATTTTAAGGTTTTGAAAGAAAAAGTTTTCAAGATATATAAATAACTCTCTACTCTTAAACATCATTTACTTTAAAAAAAATGTTTAAGGTTTAAAAAAAATCAAAGTTATAGTATTTGAATATGAATAAAATTAATGCAACTCTGCAACCAACATGTCATCATTTATTGCACACACACACTTATCAATTGAGATGGACTCATTTGGTTTTTGGTGTTAGTAGATTTCTTAAATACTCTGTTTTGAGACAAAAAAGTTTCAATATTACCATTGTCTTGTTTAACTTCAAAAATTACAATCAATTTGGATTTGTTCATTGTTTCAAGTATTTGGCTGAGTCACAATAAACTCTTTTATAGCATAACCATGATCTTTAAAACATGTGCATTGTAATTATTTACTTGTTCCAATAAAGTAACTGCATGATTTTTACACATGTAAAACTTCATTAAAGTGCTATTGTCCTCAATTACTATCAATATAAAAATCCCAATCAAGATAAAGCTAACCATTTTCAAACTGGTTGGCAATCTTTAACTACTGTAAAAATATTTATTCCTTTTGTAGCAAAAAACATGTAAGTTCATATTAATTTGAGTTGATGTTAAAATTTGACAAATAATTCAATAAAATACAAAAAATCTTACCTGATATTCGCAATATAGTACATAATACTCACAATATAATACAAAAATTTATTTACTTATGGTAAAACACCTGTTAAAAAATTTATCATATTATTGTTGGTTAAAAAACAAGCAAAAAAATTACCAAAAAAAAAATTTGAAAACATTTACAAGTTTAATTCAATGTTATCCAAAAATTTAATGTTATCCAGAATAACTGGTATGAAAAAGTTTATTATTTTAGCATAGACAGTATGAAAAAGTTTATTATTTTAGCATTTTGCAAAGTGCTCCATAAACATAGTTATTTCAGCTTTTAATATTTCTTTTTTGAAAGAAATTAACACCTAAATTACCTTTCCCTAATCAGTTATAATTTTGATTAAAAATTATTTACATCATTGTTCTTAGTTTTATTCACAGAATTTTCCTCATCTATACCAATATTTGATGGAAAATTGGAATTGCCCTAATGTATATGAAACTTTTTTTTATGTATTTTAGGATAAAACAGAAGTTGAAGGAGCATTGTTTTTATATTCACGAAGAGTGCCTCCCTATGTTGTAATTTTTATAATGAATAGACTAAACACTCAAAATGCCCAAGTTGTTTTAACGAAAGACATGGATTTTATGATACAAAAACCATTTTTACTGTGTAAATCTGCCAACAGTAAGATATCTTTAAAATGCTTTATTAATTAAAAAGTTGTACCTAGTTTAGTTATACTATTTCCTACAATCTAATATTGTATATTAAATATTATGTTGTAGGAGTATATATATATATATATATATATATATATATATATATATATATATATATATATATATATATATATATATATATATATATATATATATATATATATATAGCATCCTAGTTTATGACTTTCGAGGACATGTTATTTTTTTCCCGTTCTGTTGTTGTTTTTTTTACTTTTTTTATACTATTTTTATCATATTTATATATACTTTTTTAATTTTTATTTTATCTCTATTTTATTTATACATATTTAAATTATTTTATTATAAAAATATATTTTTTATATTAATTTTTGTTATTTTTATTTATTTATTTTATATTATATTTCATTTTTAACTTCATCTATTTACAAAAATGATTAATTACAATAATATAACCAAATTTAAACCTTGCGGTAACGCTAAGCCTGACCTTGATGCCTGGCCAAACCAAACTCTCAGTCGATGTAGCGGTACTCCCTTGCGAGTCAGGCTTTTTGTCAAAAAAATAACATGTACACTAAAATGTCCCTGATAATGCTAATGTTCCCGTAAGTGTTTGTTTTTTTGTAAAATCTGTCCCCGTAAGTGCAAAACTATACAAATGTGTATATATATATATATATATATATATATATATATATATATATATATATATATATATATATATATATATATATATATATATATATATATATATATTCCAACGCTATTCCAAATCTGAAACATAACAAAACTTAACTAACATTAATGCAAACAAAAAACAACAACAAAAAATGTTAAAGTAAATGTAGTTTTAAATTAAAAAGCTTCAATGATTTTAGCAATAAAGTATGATTTTGAAGGTTATTTAAATTTGCGTGACAGAAAAGATAGTTTTAAAAGTAAAGTAGAAAAAGTTTTATGTACTCGCTTCAGTAAAATTTTAATTGGCATCAACTAATCAGTACAAAAGTGATTAGACCCTATCTTGATCCCAAATACTCTTCTCTAGTGTAATGCCCTCTTCATAATTTTTTTCAAATTTATATTAATAAAAATTAAAATTGTTTGTACTTAGTATCAATATTACAAAATTTCAAGTTTGCACTATCTCTCAAAGTTACCTATATGGAACACCAAAAATCCAGGATCCACTTAATTAACCTTTACTTTATTTTGTAAGATATAGAGGAAAGAGGGGCAACATGGAGAACATTTTGAAAGCCCTGAGTTATTACAAAACTATCAGACGTGAAGCAATAATATTTTCTCAGTATGTTTATGTTATTAAAATCCTTCATTGCCTGCATGAATTTTCAGTTTGAAAATAAAACAATTTAAAATAAATAATAAAATAAAAGGTTCATAAAATTGTCATCTGGTCACGTGACCGGGGCAAGATGACTTATTATGCAATCTTACCTCCAATTTTATAAAATTTTAAAAACTACCAATAACTCTAACTAAAGTAGCAAAAAATAAACACAAATTGCAAAAAAATACTTCTAAAGAAGTTAAACCTGAAGGACACCATCCATTATAAGAAACCGAAAATGAGGAATTTTTTTTTTAAGCGCAAAAAGTAAACTTATTCATATAAAATTGCGTTAATAATATTTCAAAAAACCAATTGGTGTTTTAAAATATAAGATGCAAATACAGTTTTGTTTTCACCTAATTTTAAGATTTTTTGTTGAGTTATTATATGAAAAACCCATCTTGCCCCATTCGCCATGTTGCCCTGCTTTCCCCTAAAAAAAGAATTTTTAAAGTTTAAACTATAACTGCACAAGTTATGATGTTTTCAAAAATGTAATCATTTTCTGGCACTTTTTTTGCATTTATTATTTCTACTAGGGTTTGTTTAGCACAAATGTACATTCACATGCCTTCACTGGAAGACGTGCAATTACAAACCATTATATGACAATGCAAATAATAACTTTGTTTTGGCGATTTAGCTATTTACATTTTATAAATGCACTGAATAAAAAAGATTTTATATTATATTTGTATGTTAGAATTATACGTTAAAATAAATAACATTGAAACTTTTATATTTACTAATGATTTTCATATTAGCAAAACGCTTATGTAAAATAAAGATTTACTAATCATAATTTTTTTTAAAGTATCAGTTAAAGATGTATATAATTTTTTAATATATATTTTATAAATTATGTACCTATGTAATTTTAATAATAATTGTTATTTAAAAAAAATTTGAATGCTGTTACAATTAAATAGCTTAGATCTTTACTAATGTTTTTTTTTTTTTTTTTAAATTATTGAAATGCTTTTAAAATCATTACTAATATTTTATTAAAGTTTTGATTATTATACATAGATATTTTTTTAATTTGAACTAACTGCTGAGGTGTTAAAGGTGGACAAAACAATGTCGACCTTGTTTCTATGTTTAATGGTAAGACCTTTGTAGCAAATTTTTTTGCCAACCTGATGCCAACCTCAATCTTTTGGAAGTCGGCATTGTCAACCTCACTTTTCCTAATTCTGAGGGTTAATATATATTTATTTATATGTATATATATATATATATATATATATATATATATATATATATATATATATATATATATATATATATATATATATATATATATATATATATATATATATATATATATCTGTGTGGGGGGGGGTTGGGGGTTGGTTGGTGAGGTGCAGAGTCCTCTGCAATAGCCGCAGCAAGGGGTGTGCTAATGCTGCTCCTGGGCCAGGGGATGCTGATCCTCTTTTAGGATACAAGAAAATTTTGTTTGTTTCTTTTTTTTTTTTAATGAGTTAAATGATTTATAAAAATTAATTAGTTAAAAGTGTGGTGACTAGGTAGACAGTTTAATGATCATTCTAAAATATTTATTTTTTAACATTTAAACTGTTTCAAGAAATAAATTTTTCTTCTGAATAAAAAGCATCAAAAATTGCATAGATAAATCATACTACTCCTATTGTAGAAATAATTGAAACTAATGAACTAATATTTTCAGGTAAAAAAGCTGTCTGGAAAATCTGCATATCTTCTAGGCATTCCTGTTAATCCTAAGAAATGTTGCGAAAAAAGGTTAAATTTACTCCTATAAAAGCAATTTAAAAGTAAATTTCACCAAAAGTTTCATTTATAGCAAATCAAGAAATTTTTCCAAATCAAAAATAAAATCCTCCAAACATGGCAAATACTGCACCTAGTAGTAAAACATAAGAAAAGTGAGCTAATACATAATATGTATCTTGTAGTAAAATGTCTAGTGAACCATTAGCTAAAATTATACCAGTTAAACCACCTAAACTAAATAAAAATATAAAACCAGTAGCTCACAACATAGGTGTGGATAAATTAATTTTTCCTCCATACATTGTTGCTAATCAACTAAAAATTTTAATTCCTGTGGGAAACAATCATTGTAACTGCTGTAAAGTATCAAAATCCATTTCTACAGTAAATATATGATGAGCTTAAACAATAAGATCTAAGAAAGCTATAGCCAATTGAGCATATATCGTGCCTAAATATCCAAAAGCTTGATTTTTTGAGTATATATTTTAATAATTCCAGGGTTTGGAATAATTAGTGAAATTATTCCAAATCCTAGAATTATTAAAATATATACTTCAGGATGGCCAAAAAATCAAAATAAATGTTGGTATAAAACATTTATTTTGATTTTTGGTAATATACTTCAGGATGGCCAAAAAATCAAAATAAATGTTGTTATAAAAATCTCCTTCTCCAGCTGGATTGAAAAAAATAGTGTTAAAATTTCTATCAGTTAATAACACAATTGCTCCTGCTAATACAGGTATAGAAAGGAGTAATAAAAATTTTGTTAATAATATAGATCATACAAATAAAGGAAGCTTATCAAATGTTAGACCAGGTGTTCTCATGATAAAAACAGTTGTTAATTAATTGTTCTTGCAATTGAAGAGAACCCAGCACAATGAAGACTAAAAATGGTTAAATCTACAGATCCAATTGAATGAGCTAAACCCTCAGATAAAGGGGGATAAACATTTCAACCTGTTCCTGCTCCTTGCTCCAATAAAGATGAAGTTAAAAGTAAAGTTAATGCTGGAGGGAGTAATCAAAAACTTACATTATTTTATCTGGGAAAAGCCATATCTAGTGCTCCAAATCAATTTCCATAGCCTCCTAATAAAACTGGAATAACTAAAAGAAATATCATCACAAAAGCCTTAGCTGTTACTATGACATTATATAAATAATCATCTCCTATTACTCTTCCTGGTGCTAAAAGTTCTATTCTAATTAACATACTTAAAGCAGTATCATTCCAGAAAACAATTCAAAAATTATATATAAAGTTCCTTTGTGATTATTTGAAAACATTCAATGTGTGATTCAATTATACACTTATTTTTTGAAAAAATAAGTAGTTTTCTAATATTCCTATTATTGGAATAAAAAGTAAAAAAAATAAAATGAACTAAAAATTATACTAATTAATATATAAGAATTTTCTATATGTTTAGAACCTAGTCAAGTTAATTGAATAAAATTGGCTATAAATATTCAATATAATAATTTTCCTATAAGTCTAAAAGTTATCAAAAAATGTTTGTTAGTATGTAAAAATAGAATAACAAATAAAATTACTATACTTGGTATTAGAGCTAAGATTTCTCCTAATTTATTAGGGATTGACCTTAATATAGCATAAGCAAATAAAAAGAATCATTCTGGCATTATATGAACAAGAAATACTAATGAAAGAGCATTAATAAAGTCTTCTCGGTCTCCTAAAGTATTAGTATAAAAAAATACTATGAATAATAAAATAAGTATCAATATAAAAAATCCATAAACATCTTTTAAAAATACTATGAATAATAAAATAAGTATCAATATAAAAAATCCATAAACATCAATTAATAAAATGGGACTTTATCAAAATTACTATTAATTCCTAAAGGATTACTAGATCCAACACTATGAATTAATACTATAATATTTTACAATTATAGATGAAAATACAAATGGAAATAGATAATGTCAGTTAAAAAAATTACCTAAAGTAGCATTATTTACACTAAATCCACCTCATATTCATTGAACTGTATCACTTCCTATATAAGGAATTGCAGATAAGAAATTTGTAATAACAGTGGCTCCTCAAAAAGACATTTGTCCTCAAGGTAAGACAACCTATAAAAGCAGTAACCATTATTACTATAAATATGATTATATGTGAAAATCAATTTTTTTTTTGTTTTATGATAACCCCCATAGTATAAACTTTAGCCTATATGAATATAAATACAAATAAAAAAAAGCTCCAGTAGCATGAATTGATTTTAATAGAAATCCATAATTTACATCTCTACATATATGAACTATTGATTTAATAGCTAAAATCTCCGCAATAATGCATAGCTAATATAAATACTATTCAATTGTTTATTTAATTAAACTATTATCATTTATTAATTTGAATTATTATTATATCAACAATCATTAAAAGTAAGTTTTTATTTAAAACTGTTTCCCATATAAAAAATGAGTGAAGATAAAAGATTCAAAGTTTACAATTCCAAACTCAATTAAAAACCTGATAATTCAATAATCTTAGCATTTAAATTTTTTATTTTATTTTAGTTAAGTTCTTTTCATTTTCTCTCTTTTTAAGATTACTTTTTTTTCATACAAATTTTTTTCAACGTTTTTTTTAGTTAAGTCTTTTAAATAAAGTTTAGTTAAGTTTTTTAAATTAAGTTTTTTTTTTTTTAATTTAATATTTAGGTGCCCCAAGAAGACCTAATGGTCTTATCACAGAGCACCACGGTAGTGCATTTAACCAGGAAGTTTATGCCTCCTTTCCTACCGTGACGTGAAATTATGTCCAGAGTTTGTTTTGAACCTGGATCTCCTGCTTATAAAGCAAGCAATTTAACCACTGCACGACGGCCGCACACAAAATTTTTTTTTAGTTCAGGTTAATAAAAGTTTTTTTTTTAACTGTTTTTTATCAGCGCATTTTTAAAATGATCAAATTCTAAAAACATGTTTACAACCATGGTCAACTTGACCATGGTTGTAAACATGTTTTTAGAATTGATTGACCTTTCTGTGAAATTCTGATTCATGAGGTTAATAAATATCATATGTGTGCTCAGGTTTGGGAAAGTGGCTTTAAAGAAAAAAAAAATTACAACTATTTTAAACATTGTGACAATACCATTGAGTTTTATTCTCTTTGTTAGGTGTTTTCTTAATTATTAAAGTAATGCAAAAGTAGATATATAGTTTTTATTTGGTTAAATAAATATATTTACTCAAACAGTGGTGTACACTAGATTTTTAGATGTTTGAGCTTTGACTTTTACATGTATTTTGCAAACTCCAAACTTTTGTATGTTCATACTTATGTCAAATGAGAATGTTTTGCAAAAAATTGTGGTGTTGGAGCTTGGGGACAAAAAAAAACCCAATTTTCGGGCCCACCCAGCCCTTAACGTGGGAGCAACAAGTTTACAAAATGATTTCTTTAGTATTTTTATCTAAGTTTATATTCATCAACGAATTTCAACTTTTATGCAATAACCTCTTAGTTTTTAGTTTTTATGACCCTACAAAGTTTACAGCCCCCTCAAATTGATGGGGTTAAAACTTTATATGGTCATAATTTTCGCAAATAAGAAATTATTGGATGAAATTTTAAATTTGTTGATGAATATAAACTTAGATAAAAATACTGAAAAAATTATTTTATCAGCTTGTTGCTCCCACGTTAAGGGCTGGGTGGGCCCAAAAATTGGGTTTTTTTTGTCCGCAAGCTCCAATCACCACAACTTTTTGCAAAACATTCTCATTTGACATAAGTATGAACATACAAAAGTTTGGAGTTTTCACAATAACTGTAAGTGTCAAAACTCAAACATCTAAAAGTCCAGTGTACACCGCTGTCAAGCAATATATATTTTTTGTGTATTGTTTTATTTGGCCTTAAGGCAATTCTGGTGTGCCTGCATGTAAATAATTTTTTTAGTTACGGGGCTGATAAACATCAATTTATAATATATAAAAATGTTTATATTTTATACATCCATGTACAGCCTTTAGAATTTTGGTCAGAATTGAGGTCAGCAATAAATTGCCGATCTTAAACTGTTAGAATTCGACATCAAGTTTAAAAAAAAAATTTAAACAAAGGTGTTACCATAAAACATAGAAATGAGGTCGGCAAATTGTTCAATGTAGACCCTAATTCTGAGGGCTTCATGTAAATATGGCTGCATGTATATATATATATATATATATATATTCATATATATATATATATATATATATATATATATATATATATATATATATATATATATATATATATATATATATATATATATATTCATATATCTATATCTATATATATATATCTAAATATATATATATATATTATATATATATATATATATATATATATATATATATATATATATATATATATATTAGAATTTTTTCTAATTGCACATTTGAATCTCCCATTCTTATCCATCTATATATCAAAACTGTAACCATTACACCAAAACTGTTGGTTTGTTCATGAGATTCATTTTTAAATATCTAGTGACAAGTTCCTTAACTTCTAATAGCTATGGATTTTTCAATTTCAGCTATTGAATAAATGAGTGCTTATTGAGACAGAACCATATATTTTTAACAGTTGAAAAAAAAATGTTTTGATTTACAGATTATGGCTAACAATGTTTCACGTACATTATAGTTGTTTCCTTGAAAAGTCTAACAATATTTTGTTATTCTGAATGGTGTGGTTTTTTCCTCTCTGTTTTTTTTTTTTTCAAAGATATAAAGATTCTATAACCTGTTGTATTCTGACATTCTTATATTTTCATCTCTTTTTATAACTATTTTAAAAAGGATTTTAAAAAATAGATGTTTTTTTTTTACTTTTTAATTTAAAAAGTGAAGTTAAAAAATAAGATTATTGGAAACTATTTTTATTATTACAACTCCATTTTTTTGAACCTATTTTGTTATACTTTAAATTTTACAGTCAAATTAGAATAATAAATATGATTTGTTACAAAATAATAATTTTGTGTATGGTTGTTATTATGAAACCTTCACATAAGTGCTATTTTAAAATTCTTTTAGATGAAATTTCTGGCATTTGGTTTTATGATGAGGATGAATGTGAAAGATTTGGTATATTGTTATCAAAGTATGAATTTTTTAATACATTACTATTATTTACATTAGTATTATCTATTACATTATTAGTATTACATTACATAAGTATTTTATTGGTAAATTTCTAAAATTTTTAAATTTTACCTTGAATTTTACTGAATTCTGACGATTCTTAACTATTTAGAAATATGAATTTATAATGTATTGACTGCAGCATTTTTGAATGCATCTAAATGTAGTTAACAATAATATAGTAAGAATTATAATTGCAAGTTTTCTACAATTTAGATGGCACATATAATTGATGTGAGACCACATTTTATGAAAAATACGTTGTTGTTTTTTCAAGATTACTTTACAAGATTATCTCCATAATTTTGATATACATTTTTCCCGATTGCTTTGATAATTTTTAACTAACTTGTATTTGTATTTGATCAAATAAATTTGATCAAATGAATTTGTATTTGATCAATCAATCAACACTAATTTGTTTTTGTATTTGGTCAAATGAATTTGACCACAACCCTGACCCTTGATTGCATACATGCTTATAATAATTCTGAGATCTTAAAACAATTTTGTTTGAAAGAAAAATTAATTGTTATACTAAAAGATTGCAAGTGTGTAGTAAAATTTGAAACTAATATTTCCAAATGGATAACTTATGGAACATATTGTAAATTAAAAGTTATAAATAGGTCTTCTTTTTAAAATAAGCAAATTTTGCATGTTTGAAAGAATTAAAAAAACTGTTTGTCAGCATTGTTGGTCAGCTATTTGTTGGACTGCTAGACAAATTGTTGTTTGCATCCCTGACCTCAGATACTAGCTTTGTTTTATTACTAGATACAGGCTTTGTCGGCTGACTACGGAAGTAATATTTACTTGCGAAAAGCTGGCCAGATTTTTTAGTCGTTTTGAGAACATTTCAAAAAGCAAAAGAAGTGAGAGCAAACTTTAAAAAAAAAAGGGTTCATACTTTAAACTTTTTCAAAAAACCTTTCTATTAATGCCCTTTTAGGAGGTTAAAACTGTAAATGTTAAAATTAGCGAAATAGTTTTATGCAACATATTGAACTAAGAACTCCTATTTAACTAAAGACTGGCTAATTTTTTTGTATTATATTTTGTTTATATTCATCATCTGACTAACTTTTTCAAATCTGTATTTGTTTTATATGCTTATTTGCTTGTAATAAAGTCTTTTTTTTTAAGGTCCTCTTATAATGAGGTCCTCTTTTTTTTTTTAGGTCCTCTTAAAGTAAGGTACTCTTTTTAAATTGAATCCAGATTTGGAAAGAAGAAAATACTGGACATATAGATTTTAATGTAAATCGTCTTTTAAGTGTCTAATTTAGAACATTTAAATTTTTGAATAAATAATTATTTAATGTTTCCCTCTAACAAAAATCGGATTTTGCTGTTTAGTACAATAGGCAAATAGCTTAAGTATAATTTTTTATTAGTTAATTTTAGAATAACACATTTTTGGACCTTTAGTAATTTTTTTAAATAACTTGTTTTGTTTATAATACTCAAAATTAACTGATGTTTAAACAAACAAATTAGTTAATGTATTATTTTTGCAATCAAAAATTTGTTTTGTTTTTTAATTAATTTTTGCATCATGATAAACTTAATTTTTCATTTAAAATATTTTCATATTTTTTAATTAAATGAGAATGAGAAGACCAAAAATATTTCCAGATTTAATACAGGATCACTTAATTTGCGCCTTGACTTGGTATCCAAGAAAAAAAATCTTTTAAAGCTTTTAAGGAACTGCTTGTAAGTTGATTTTAACATCCACTAAAATGTTTCTAGCTCACAAAGCCATCAACAAATAAATGCTCCTTTATCAGTTGTGTTTTACAAATTAGCATAGATGATTATGGATAAACTATGGCTATGTTATAGAAATAGTAAAGTAAAGAGAAATGTATCTTCTCTGGTAAATAATCTTGTATCAGCATATCTTTCTCTTAATCAGTCAAAAAACACATGTTCTGTTTGATCATCTGGTTTCTAATATTCTAGTATGCATTGGTAGTGATATAATGGTATTGATGTAATGTACTTAGAATGCATTGGTAGTGATGTAATTGGTTGTGATGTTATGTACTCAGAGTGCATTGATTGTGAGATTATTCAATAGTACTTTTTTTTAAATTTTTGGAATAGATATAAATTATCATCAAGTAATCATCCTGACTGTTCTAAGCATTTTTTAGATCTAGTTGTAGAATTTTCTTTTAACTATATTTATTACACATTTTGGGACTAAATGAATTAAAAGCATTATATTAATATATATGAAAATATAACTAATATAAATGGTATGAAATAAGCCAAAATAAAACTACAATTTATGCTATAAATGCTTATAAATTTTGGTATAATAGCATTAAAACTTCATTGTACAAAGATTTATGTAAAAATAATAGAAAAAAATAAAACAGATCACAAACTGGGACAGTACTTATCACCACCCAACTATCTCTAATTTTCAAAGAAACACTATGCTTTGTTCTCAATAGTTGGTAGTTTGATAAGACAAGGTTGTTTCCCTGATTTTAACTTTGATAGTTTTAAACTTCCTTAAGGACCAGCGAGTAATTTTAAATAAGATTTTTTATAGAGGCTTTTAAAAAATATACTTTGTTTTAGGAAGGGTGAGTTGTAATGTGACTGTTTCTTTTTTTTTGACTATGTTTTTTTTATTGTTTGTTTTTATAATGTTCTTATTGCTGTTATAGTGCTAATTTGTGTTGTAAAATCTTTTTTTTATTATAGATATGTTCAACTTTTAAAAGATGAAAAGTTATTGAAACAAGAAGTTTTATGCGATGAAAATAAACTTCAGGTAAGATTTATTTTTTGTAAGTTAAAATAAGCTCAAATTGTCTGACACCTCAAATTGACTGACTCATAAATGGCCAATAAAATAAATTTGCAATTGTGAAAATTTTAAAATTAATAAACATCAAATTTTAATTTTAAAAAAAAGTTATTGTCTTTTTAAAGTCTTTTTTTTTTCTCTTAACTTAACTTAAATCTTTAACTTGTAAAAATATTGCAATTTAATTTAAGGTAGAAACACCATCAGAAACTCATATTGTGTGAGTTAAACTTTTAAATGTTCTTTCTTTTTTCAAAAAGAACAAACACAAAAAGAACATTTGAAAGAACAAACTTTCAAATGTTCTTTTTGTCTTTGTTCTTTCAAATGTTCTTTTGTGTTTGTTCTTTCAAATGTTCTTTTATGTTTGTTCTTTCAAATGTTCTTTTATGTTTGTTCTTTCAAATGTTCTTTTATGTTTGTTCTTTCAAATGTTCTTTTGTTTTTGTTCTTTTAATGTTCTTTTGCCTTTGTTTTTTCAAGTGTTATTTTTGTGTTTAGAAAATTCCATGTCAAATCATTAAAACTAAATATTTTAGAATATTTTGAATTTTTAAAAATCTTTGAATTTTATTGTAGTATGTAATAATTGAAGCATAATTCCAAAATTTGAACAAAAATTCTTGAGATATTGACAATAGAATATTACCTGCATTTTTGTGACAAATCAAAGAGATAATAGAATATTTTAAAATGTTTGTGAAAAATTGAAAGATAAATATTAAAAAAAAAAAAAAAACTATTATGTATATTATTATTATTATGATTATTATGCGCAGATTAAGACTTTTTAAAACCATTTAATCATATTTACAGTATTATTTACTGTATTTAAAAGATATTATTTACTACTATAAAATAAAAACAAAAAAAAATATTTTTGTTTCAAGGTTTATGGTGTAAAATTCAATTTTTTTTTATTGCTTGTACATTTTAAAGATATTTTTTAAATATGTTACTTCTCTTTAACCTTAAATTATTTGAAAATAAGTTTTTCTAAAGTTCAGGGAACCACTACTAATGTTCAGGGAACCACTACTAATTGAGCTATCTTTTCTTTTTAGTCATTGTTGTACTCCTTTCTCAACTTTTAAAACTTTCAAACATGAACTTTAAGGAGCATGCCTGCTATGCAGAGAAACAAACTAAGCTCAATACTTCCAGAGAAATGGTGAGTTTCAAATTTGTCAGGGCTAACTAGAGTTTGCAGAGCTATTTGATGATTGTTATAGAAGGACAAATAAATATAATCAACTAAAAAAAGAGGGAGGTCCTACAATAAGTTTATTTTCATAATAAGAATAAAAAATTTTTATTAAAGTTTAAGTAACATTGTGTAATAAACTATTACTTTTTTCTAATTTGTTTACATTTTTTAAATTATGAATACATTAAGGCATTAAACATAATATTATTTATATTAAATACAGCACTCAAAATAACGGCCAATCAGTGATCAATGATCAGCTATTTTTAGGAATATTTCAAAAAATTCAAGGGAAAATAACTTGTTTTTGTGAAAAAATTACATTTGATCAGCTTTGAAAAACTATTTTGAGTGCTGTAAATACTTCTACTAGATTTTTGTATTAGATTTTTAAAATTACAAAAATACTCACAGCAGAATAAAACTTAAAATCTTTCTGTGTGTACATATTACTTTGACTTGGGGTAAAGCTAAAATTTTTAATTACTTTTATCAACTGTAAATAATTAACTGTTAAAAAAAGTTTTACACCAAAGATTGTGCAGCAAATGCAATAAAATTTTCTTAATAATACTTTTGTCTTATTTTTGCAAAGATGCCCAGGTGCATTACTTTTAAAAGCATTAATATCTACATTCCATGTAAGGTCATTGCTGCAAATTGTGCAAACCTTAGTTTAATTCTTCAAACATTTTGATTATTTTATCTTTTCCACATATTTGCTGACCACATTTTGACCATTTATTTGATGTGGATACATTTCTCCTTATTTCTATTTCAGTATGATGTCATCAAGAACATTTTGTAGTGTTCTTAAATATGCATTAAAGTGCATTATGTTATTAGTAATAGTTTAATTTTAAAAAATTAACTTCATAAGCTATTTAACTTAGTAATAGATGTGATTGGGTTTTCATTTCTAAAATAAAAAATGTAGGAAAAAAATCTAATATTTTGAAATATGTGGGAAATGTAGCCAATTTTGATTAAACTTTCATCCTCATCTACTTACTATTATCTATTAGTTTTTTGCACAAAAAGCAAAAGTTTTTTTTTTCAAACAAATTATCAAGATATTTTAAATTTAAAGTTGTCTCTTAAATGTCACAAAAATGTTGAATTGATAGAAATTCATTTTTTTCTCAAGAACTGTATTTTTTGTTCAGATATTTGCAATTATGCTTTATTTATTAGGTACTACAAATCATGTAAATAGCATTAATTCATGGTCTGGATTATTTGACATGGAATTTCTGGGACAGGTAACTTAGTGTTATTGTTTTTGTTTTTCTTTTTCTTTTTTTTTTTATTCAATTTAAAAGACAAATTTTTTTTTCAATGACAGACCTTTAGAAATTATTCTTCCCAGACTTTTAATGAAGCAATATTTGTTTTTTGACATTGTTTCAATTTGTTCTGTGTTAAACAGTCTAATTATTTTCTATAAGATATTCTTTTTATTACTGCTATTTTATTTGATTTGAACAACTACAAAATATTTATTTTCTTTTTTCCAAATTTACAATCACAATAACTGTAATAATATTGATAATAATAAAAATAACAAAATCATAATAAAATATCATTATTAAGAATAAATATATATAATTATTTAACAAGGACAGTGTCATTCATGCATAAGCCTGATTAAAGTAGTGACACCAAGCCTTATTAAAGTAGTGACCCTACTTTACTTCTACTTGGTGAGTTTTTGCGTTGCAAATATAAATAAGATTTTTTGTAAGGCAATTTCCATTGAGTGGGCATAAGGTGGTTTGACGACAATTGCATAATTGATTCGCATTTTCATGAGAATTAAATAGTATATTTTTATTATGAGAAGTAATAATACTGTTGATGTTTGAAAGGCAGCTATAACTAACCTTTAAGTTGTTTCAATTAAAAAGTTTGTGAAATTTGTGGCTTTTAGGCTTTTGTTTCACTATATATATATATATATATATATATATATATATATATATATATATATATATATATATATATATATATATATATATATATATATATATATATATATATATATATACATATATATATATATATATATATATATATATATATATATATATATATATATATATATATATATATATATATTTAAATATATTTATCAATATATATATATATATATATATTTAAATATATTTATAAATATATATATATATATATATATATATATATATATATATATATATATATTTAAATATATTTATAAATATATATATATATATATATATATATATATATATATATATATATATATATTTAAATATATTTATCAATATATATATATATATATATATTTAAATATATTTATAAATATATATATATATATATATATATATATATATATATATATATATATATATATATATATATATATATATATATATATATATATATTTAAATATATTTATAAATATATATATATATATATATATATATATATATATATATATATATTTAAATATATTTAAATATATTTATATATATATATATTATATATATATATATATATATTTATATATATTTATATATATATATTTGTTTATTAATGTATGTAAGTATATACATATTTATGTTCTGCCATAACCTCTGGCGCTGTGCTTGTTCATCTGTAAGATACTATATATGTATTTTTGTGTTTTTTGTATTTTTAAACTTCTTGTATGTTTATTTCATTATTATTTGTATTAACTGTGATGATTGTTAATAATTTCATTGAAAATGCATTTATTAATGAAAGTAATTTCGTTTACAAAATCAATCGCACAAATTGCTTTAAAAGATTACATTTGAATAAAATACATATACATAAAAAATACAAAATACATAACATACATGGAAAAAAAAAAAAAAAAAGAATATACTAATAAAATCTATAATATATTTACTGATGTTGACAAGTTAAAAAATATAAGTTTAAAACATTTTTTTTTGTAAACAAATAATATTAGTTTAAAACATTTATAGCTTTGTACAGTCTTGGAAAAAAGTTTAGGACCACCACATATAAATGCTATACTTTGGTGCCTAAAATAAAATTGAGCGTGTATAAGTTTTTATTTGGCAACCATAGCTAGTTAACACAATTTCCCATTATTATTAAATAATCAAAAAATGATTTGCCAATTATTTTCTGTACTGTAATAATTTTTTCATTAAATTTTCAGTTTTTTGCAAGTGGTCTTAAACTTTTTTCTAAGACTGTAGATGTGGCTCTGAGAATGAGCCATAGTATTAAAATAATAGTTCATTTGATAGTATATTCTTAAAAAATTTATGCTAGAAATCTCAACAAAAACATAAAACTCAAATAATACATTTTAAAAAATATTTCAGCAAAATACTTGAGAACATTCGGTTAGTATTTTTTGAATACTCTAGAAATTTCCGTTAGTATTTTTTGAACCAATAGAATTAGATTGTTCGTAGATTTGGTGGCTTTTTTGTGTTCGCGAATATTCTTTTTTTATTTTTCAGCACAAAGATAATTGAGAACATTCAAGTTTATGCATGTTTTCATGTTTGTCCGTAAAACAACATTTTTTAAAATTCACAATAAAATAATGAACTTTATAACTTTATCATTATTTTGCGGACAAACATGTAAACAAACTTAAATGTTCTCAAAAGGACTCAAAAATCTGGCGGGTTCTTCACAACTAAATATTATTTCCATGGTTAATTATCAAGTGCAATCGCACCCATTTCCCGAAACCAGCTGGCAACCATCGGAAATACTCTGAGATACATTCAGTTTCTAAAATCTCCTAGGTAGAACAAATAATTATTATTTTACATATAAATATACTATAAAACAATGATAAAATTTTAAAATGATCTATTTTATGCAATACATGTTTAATCTAATTTATCTCCCCCCTAACATTTAAAATGAGACACAATGAGGCAAAAATTTTATGTGAGAACAAAAAAACCATAATGATAAATACTTGTCTATTTTTATTTTAGATCAATAAGATTTCAATCTACAAAGTTGATAGTAGCCTGCCCTCAAAAGCATGAGAACAGGGATTTGATCTGCAAAGATAGTTTCTGCAAGAATTCTGAACAAAGATGTGTTGCCTCCGCTGTAATAGACGCTTGGAAGAAAGCAGGGTTTCAAGATTTTATCATCAGTGGATCTAGTGTCAGAGATAAAATACTGAAGCTCCATAGTAAGTACATAAATCTGCATCATCTCAAATTTCTCTAAAATACAGAATGAGTTTTTAGAGGAGAGTAATACACTCTTTGATATTTCATTGGCAAAGTTTGAACAAAAAGTAAATCAGGATCATTTTCGTTCGGAGAATGCTAAAAAGGAGGATATTAGGTTATATCTAGATCAAAAAAGAGAGCGAAACATGTATACTACAGAAGAGTTGGATAAAGTATTACAAAATTCAGTTAAAAATAAAAATATTCGGCTCAAGAGGATGGAGGAAGCAAGAGATAAAAGTAGTATCACAATTAATGCAGTAAAATCCAACAAACTTGACGCTTCTTTTTATTCATCTGGAAATGATTCTGAATCGGAACTTAGTTTAGATTCTTCAGATGATGAAAAATTACCTAATAGATTCAGTCATTCTACTAAATCTAAGATAATGATAAGTATAAGTGCTGAAGATCTGGTAGACTGTACTGCTGCAGTTTCTGCCCGATTCAGAGTAGGTATACGCCCACAAACTTCATTAGTAGCTGCTATTTGCAAGCTGGTGTAAATCTAGAAGATATTAATCTATCAAGAAGTACCGTTCATAGAAAAAGATTCAAAAAAATTATTAGGAGATAATAGATATTAGGAGATAAGCTCAGGCAAGAAATTATAACTACTCTGAAGGGAAAAAAGCTATGTGTTCATTTTGATGGAAAAAGGATAAAACAGATTGAAGAAAATCTAAAAATAACTGTTTCTGTAGAAAGAATAGCGGTTAGTGTTACATCCCCTGATATGGATGACACAGATGACCTTGCAGCTTTTAAGAATGCTTTTTGTATCAAAGAAAAATATCCCAATCTTGGTTCAGCATTGGTTGCTAGTATGCAAAGACATACCTGGTACTTGACTGAGCAGTTGGTGCTGCTATCTCTGGCTGATGATGATGTAGAGCAGGAAGTGAAAAAAGAGATGTTGAATAGATTAGTTCAGTTCGATGTTCCTGACAAGTTCAAGATTGGAAAACCTGAGCTACCAATCATATCAGAGTCCACTGAGCTTTGGGAACTGGTAGGTCCAGAAAGTTGGCTTTTGTTAAAAATCACAGAAGTCCCTGATGGTGAAGTAGAGCTGCGGAGGATGGAAAAAGCCCAAAAGTCATTAGATTTATTCAAAAAATTTGTTAAAAATTTGACTTGCGTCAACGATTGTGCTGAAAGAAACATACGCCTCATTCAGGACTTTGTAGGTGGATATAAATCTGACAATATGCAACAAAAATTAATGCTGGTGGCCAGGGACAATAGAAAGAAACTTAAAAAAGATTTTTCCAAGTCCCAGTTAAAAAATATATAACTTATTATTCTTGAAATATACATTTTTTGACACACTTAAGTATTTTTATTAGGAAAATGTGTAAAATTTTGGTTTTTAACAAAAAATGGAATTTTACATATTGCTGAAATTGTGGTCTGACAATGTTTTTTTTTTTATATATTTGCAATCAGGGGACACTAGAGAATGGGAAAAAATTGCGTGCACATAGAAATTAAAAAAAGAGTATAAATTTGGGACACCCTAATATACATTCATATATATATGTATATATATACATATATATATATATATATATATATATATATATATATATATATATATATATATATATATATATATATATATTTATACATATATATATATATATATATATATATATATATATATATATATATATATATATATATATATATATATGTATATATGCGTATAAATATGCATATATATATATACATATATATATATATATATATATATATATATATATATATATATATATATATATATATATATATATATGTATGTATATATACATATATATATATATATATATATACATATATATATATATATATATATATATATATATATATATATATATATATATATATATATATATGTATATATATGTATATATATATATATATATATATATATATATATATATATATATATATATATGTATATATATATATATATATATATATCCATATATATATATATATCCATATAGTGTAGTCGAAAGAGCGTTTTAATGTAAAAAAAAGTCTCTTACGACTAGAATTTTAATTACCTCGTCTCTTAAGCTGTATTTGATTGTCGTCGAAATGTCAAAGCAATTAAATTAATGCGGAAGTACATTAAATTTTATTGTTTTTTAAAAATTTTTTAAAAAACCGCAATTATAACGACTAGAAAGTTTTTTTTTATTAGTGATGTTTTTGTTTTTATTTTATTAAAAAACATTTTTAAAACATGCATAAATGTTGCTACATTGACTATCTTATAGCCTGACTCGCAACGGAGTGCTGCTACATCGACTGACAAATAGCCTGACTCGCAATGGAGTGCTGCTACATCGACTGACAAATAGCCTGACTCGCAAGGGAGTGCTGCTACAACGACTGACAAATAGCCTGACTCGCAAGGGAGTGCTGCTACATCGACTGAGGGTTTGGTTTGGGCAGGCAGTCTATCATTTGAAAAAAAAAAAAAAATTTAAGTTTTTAAACTTTTTCTGGTCTGGTTTATTAACGCGCTCTTTAAAACTACAGTTTATGGGAAACTCTTTTCAACTACCATGCAAGAGTATATATATATATATATATATATATATATATATATATATATATATATATATATATATATATATATATATATAATAATTAAAATAAATAAAACACTTTATTATAATTAGTTTGGATGAAAAATGCATATTTAAAAAGAATACTTATTTTTTAATGTTGATTTTAAAAAATAAGCCTTTTGTGTTTATTTTTATTTTATAATAAGCCACATAATGTATTACATAAATATAAAAAGTAATTCATAAAGTGCTATGCATGCAAAAATTAGGTGAAAATTTGATTGCCCAAATATGATTTGTCTACTTTTAAATTTTTCCATTTCATCTAATGTTGATTGGCAAATTTTGAACAACCCTCGGAATTAGGATCGGCATTAAGCATTTTTCATTCCTTTTCACAATTTAGCATATTCAAGATTTCTTGCCTACCTTCGTTGTATGTCATTACTGTGAAACTTTTGCATTAAAAATTTTGTGCTTTCCTGATGCTAACAAAAAAATATGTAAGGTTGGCAATAAACTGCTGACCTTGTTTTCAGAGGTCTGTTTAAATAATTATTTTAAATTCTGAAAGTTGCTTATTTCATTGTTTTAAAAACAAAACCCAAAACCTTTAACAAAGTTAACAGTTAACTGAAATATTGGTTTCTTTATTTTGTTTATCATTCTTATAATTGTTACATACTTGGTGTGAATTTTTAGTTGTTTTTTACATAACCTGTGCAATATTTGACATAATTAAAATTTTTATGAATTCATCAGCTGCGTATACATCAATATTAAAACTATTATGAATACCACGAATGCATCAATACATTGTGTTACACCGACTTACAAACTGATTTAAAGTCATATTGTACAAAAATAATTATCATGATGCTGATAATGATTGATGATGATTGATGATGATTATGATGATCATTATGATTGATGATCATGATGATGATAATGACGATAGTCATCATCAAGATAATCATAATGATCATTGTCATTATGATGATCATTGTCATTATCATTTTCATGATGAGGTTGATAATCATGATGATGGTGATGAGGTGAATGATCATGACCATGATGATAATGATATCTTTTTTTTTAGTTAAAGTTAAAGGTATTTTTTTATTCTTCAATTATTTTAGCCTCCAAAGAACGATTTATTTTATTTGTTTTCAAAAGCACAAGAAGAGTTTAAGGTCAGTATTTTTGTTAGATCTTTAATGCAAATATTTTAGTTTTGATATAATTTTATATTACAATATTTTTTTGTTTTAAAATAAAAGGTTTGTAAGTCATAAAAATAAAAGGTTTGTAATTAATTATTTGTTTTTAAGTAGTTTCAAAAAAGACTTCTGTACGTAGATTTATTGTTTTTTGCCTGGAATCTTGGGTCTCTAAAAAAGTTTAAGAACAGTAAAACTCCATTAGGAAAAAGTGAAGAACTATTTTCGAAACATTTCATTTTTGAACTTTTTTGAGTTTAGTCTTTTTGTAAAATGGTAGCCAGGGGCTATTGTTTTTTTCCCTTTATGATCTTTAGGAGTTTCTAAATAATTTAGCTCTAGCTCAAACTAAGTCTAGGTTAGTTTGTGTAATTAAGTTTTTTAATTTTATTTACTTAGGCCCGTCCTAAATTAATTCCTTTACAAGTAGAAAAGCAAAAGATAAACAAAAAACCTCAAGCTGTTGATCAAATCAGTAATCATTGCAGTAAACCACCAATTATTCTTAAACGAAACTCTCTATCAAATTCGAAGCCCCATGATGAAGTAAGATATTTTTTATCTATTCAATTTGCAACTAGTTTAGAATTTATCATACATTTTATTAGAAACTTTGAGTTTGTGTTTAGTGATGAAAAATTTGTTATTGTTTTTTTTTTCGTTGTTATTATTTTTATGGTCAGTAGCTGAGTTGTAATGATTTTTTTGTTGTTGTTGCTTATAACATTGCATTGTTAAACACGTTTTTAAACATGTTAAACATTGCAAAATAATAATTAACACATCTAAGAATTTTCTTATTTCAATCTAGGACATTTTTTAATTTGAGCTATAAGAAAACTTAAATATAAATCTTTATGACTCTAAATAAATTTCAAGAAAATTAAATTTAATTTAATTGATTACTTTAATTTAATTTAGTTAAAGAAGTTAGAATAGGCCTGTGGCTATAGTTACAATAGTTTTTGTGTTTAATTAAAATTTAAGAAGTTACAATAGACTTGTAGCAGTAATGTAGATTTGTCACATGACCACTATAAACTATTTGAATTTAAATATTTAGTGCTAGTTAACAAATTTTGAAATTTATATAAAATATCTTCAATAACTTATTTAATTATTTATATCTTGGTTATTTGCAGGTATGTCGAGTCCCAAAAAGGACTCCAGATTTGAATGTTACAAAAAAATTACTTTCTAGTTTTTGGTATCCAAGAGCTCTAATAATATAAAAAATGCTCATGGACTACATTGGTAAAAAAAATTAAGACTTTTAGGTTAGAGAAACAATCACCTTTTGAACCAAGAGTCCTTAGGTATAATGGCGGCAAGAACTTTGGAACTCTAGGACTTGAGGCTTGTTAACAATATGCTTCAATTCATTAAGTTTCATGAGTTTTTTTTTTTTTTTATAGCAGATCATAAATCAACCAATATGTTCAGAGCTACTGGAAACCAAATACCAGGAAAAAATAGTAATATAATTTTTAAGACTCTGCATCTCTGGTTATTTTAATTATTTAATAATAAAGTATTTGTAAACACTAAAACTAGTAATAATTTAATTATTGGCTGTTAATATAAGGCTAGTATTGATTCAAAAATTGTTTTGATTTTGTTTGTAGATTGTTAATTTATAATGAGTTTAATTCTTTTAACTTTTTTTACTATTACTACATCAAAACTTCACGTTTTTTTTTTATTACTTAGAGCATTTTTTCTTTATTCAGGAAAAATTGTTATCTCCAGATGTTATAAAGGACAAACCAGAGTTGCAGAGCAATAATCAAGACCACAGAATTAATAGTCATGATGATGTACATCATGATGATACAGAAAGGTCAGCAATATACTCTCGTACTATGTCTAGTAATGGAGTTACATATCAAAAAACTGATCAGGCTTTTCAAGATGGAAATAATGTTGTAACTGATTTTTCTGGTATCGTTAAAAATTTATCTGAAATTAAGCCGAAAGTTATAGGGTGTGCTGAGCTAGAGTTCGAACTTTTAAACAAAGTAGTTATAAATCAGGTTGCTAATAGCTCTAACCAAAACTCAAATTATTTGTCCAATACTGTTTTAAAGTCAGATTTTGATTATCCTACATCAACTGTATCTGCTACCACATCAACAAACAAGACTTCAGAATCTTCAGAAATTTCTGCACCCCATATTCAACTTTTATCTCCAAGCATTCTTGCTTCCAAATCTGTCAAACGTGGCAATGCACCAAGTGGACTTGCTAATGGTCATAATAAGGTGTTATTAGCAGGTAGATTACCTTTCATTCTGGTTTTAAATGTGTATGTATATATGTATATATATACATACACACACACACATATATATATATATAAATGTATATGTATAAATGTATATATATCAGGGTTGGCAAAAAAACCCAACCCAAAAAAACCCACCTTAAAAAAAAACCAATAAAGCCCATAAAAACCCAAAATATATTTGGGTTTTTGTAAAAATGTTCTTTTTTACAACTGATAACTCTGATTTTAACAATTATAAATGCTTTATTATCAGCAAGTGCAACTTTTATACTGTAATTACTCTTGTAAACACTGTATTTATACACATAATGGTATTTAGAATATATCTAATACTGATCAATCTGTTTTTGTAGCAAGTTGGTTATTTATTATTTTGTTAAAACATATAGCAAGTTGTTATAAATGTTATTAAAAAATGTATTAAAACATTAAATTAGTTAAATACTTATAAAGGAAATAAAAATCATTCTATTAACTAAACTTCAAGACATCACTAGTTATTTAGTATCTTTATTCTCATCTCAAATGTCTATTTCCTAAAAAGGGTTTTATATATGTCATTTTATATTAGTATTTGATCTTTTATTTTTTAAAGCTTATGTTGTAAACTGCAAATTTCAGTACAAAGCCACAAGCAAAATACTATATATAAAAAGTATTACTTTATTTACAGTTTAGAAATAGAAAGTTGTCAGGCAAAAAAAATGCTAAAGTTTCCTAGACTTGTCCTTATTAAATGCATACAACTTTAAAACATAAAAAAATTAAGTTATGTGCAAGCAAGTTCGCAACATATTTGCTCATTCAATGAGAGAACATGTTGAAAACTTGTATGCATTTCACAAGGACAAGATTTGTTGGTAAAAATGATACTCATGCTCATCTGTCTTTTTACAGGTTTTGAATATTTTGCATCAGCTACAAGTTAACTACATGTACCACCAACAGGGGTGACTATGAACAGCGTGTTGAAAATGAACATCAGTATCAAGTTGCTAGTGAGGAAACACACACAATAGAGCTATATAATGTGTTACTTTGATTCAGTTGCAAAATTGAGTCGGTAAAACATCTTCAAGGAAAAAAAAAAGAATTTGGTGGTGAAGACACTGTAATGGTTCTTAACAAATTCATTTTAGATATTTTAAGAACCAAAGCTCAGGCGAAAATCCATTTTTTGTCCAGTTGATTAGGACGATAACTTTTCCAGGAAGCTGGATAGTGTAATGTTCTGTTAAAAAAAATGTAGTGATTAAGCTAACAGTTTTCTTCTATGATGCAAAAATGATTAAAAAGTGTTCATAGTCATCCTGATTGACAATAACTTATAAAGTTGCAACATTATGTTGCAAACTTGTTGATTACATGTTGTAAGCTTGTGCAAAGTAGTTTATGAAATGATATGTTAGTACATGAACATGTTGAACATGTTAGTAAAAAAAACTAGTTTGCAACATTTATATTGTCTTACCAACTTTGAATAACTCAATTGTCATAATAATTTTTATAGTGATTTTTTTTTTAGTCAAAAATTCTGAACATGTTTTTAATTTAGTGCAATTAATTAACATCATTTATAGTTGATGGAGTCCTTTGTTTAAAAATTTTAGTTGTTAATGTTGTTTGTTAGTAAAAATGGTAATGTTAAGGATTGAGACAAAATATTTTTTAAAAATGAGTTGCTCCCTTGACTGAAGTGGTCATTGGAGCAATAGGGAGGTGAATGTATGAAATTTAAAAAAAATTATTGTACTCATACAATTATAAAAATTTGGTGTTTTGATCAGTTTTTAAAAAAACCCATAAAACCCAAAAAAAAACCATTTGGGTTGGGTTTTTTTAAAAAACCCTTGGTTTTTTCCAACCCTGATTTAAACAGTTGCCCTGAATGTAGAAAGGTTAAGGTTAAAGTTAAAAACATTAGGAAAAAAGTTTAACAAAAAAACTAACCAAAAACACCAAAAAACTAACGAAACATGAAACGAAAGAAAAAAAAAATTCTTTACGAAAAAGAAATTATAAATAAGAATTAAAAATAAAAACTTAAACTCGAAGCGAAACTTTTTTTTACGTTTTTAATTGCATTTAAAATAAATGTTATTAAAATCATTTTAAGTTTTATTAAACGTTTTAGTTATACAAAATATTTTTAAATTAAGTAACAAATTACTACTAATGATTGTTTAATACATGAACAAATTTTATTAAATTTATTAAAATGTTGTGTATATGATATTTTTAAATTGTATCAACTTTTATTTTTTCAAAAAAGTTGCCAAAAAAAAAATGTATAAAAAAACATCAGTCTTTTTAAAATAGTAATTTTTGATAATTTAAGACTTAGAAAAAAAGGTTTTCAACTTTTTTATTCGTAAAAATAGTAAAACAAAAAACAAAAAACAATTAAATTGTTCCATTGCAGGGTTAATTGTTCATTTTTGTTGTCAGACTTGGCATTTGTAAATTTTGAAATAATTCAGTGGCTGCTAGACCGCTGAATCAGTCATTTAAAGTCATCAGAATCCAGCCTGCAGCCATGTGATGGCAAAAGTAAACTATGAAAAGGAAGCGGAACAGCTTTGCAGTACCCACAAAAATAATATTTCATGCATGGGTTTTTCAATTTTTATTTCAGATTAGTTTTTAAAAGAGAAAATAGTTTTTAGATATTAGTTTAAGATATAGAGTTTTTAAGAATGTCAACTGAACCAAAAAAAAAAGTTATTAAACCAATATATAAGAGCTTAAAAACTTTTCTTTCATGTAGAAAAGAAGGGAACATGATACTTAAAAAAGTTAAAGTAAAAAAGTAAGAGTAAAGAACAAACATTACAATATTTAAACCACTTACTACTTACACTAACTTAGATAACATAGAGAACTATTTAATATGTTCATGCTGATAATAAAACCGGTGTTATTTTTAAAAAGTATATAATTGTTATTGTAAAAAGCAATAAAACAACAATAAAACAAACTGCAAAGTTATTTTAAAAATATAAAGAGCCTGTGTTAATGTAAAACAACTTCGTGACGCTGTTCTGTTGCTGTTTTTGATTCAATTTATAACCTAAATAATATAAAGAAAGTTTAAAATAAAACAAAGCAAATAAATAATTATATAGTTCTAATTAATAAATTAAAACATCATCATAAATTTTCATATTTGCGCAAAAACATACCTATAGACTATACGAGTCTATAAATCTATGGATTATGTTGAGGTTTTAACATGATTGTAAAATAATCACCCCATTCGAAATGGTAGAAGCTGTGAATTGTTCATAAAACGTAAACATTAAAAAAACTCTTAAAAAAATTGTTTATTATTTAATTTCATTCAAGTTTTAATAACAATGTAAACATTTTTTACGCTGCTTTTTATTTCTAAGTACCTAATTGAGCTATAATAAATAATAAGTTATTGTTAATTAGTAAGTAACTCTCCAAGTAAAATGTTTTAAGCATTGTTAAAAGGATTATTTGTGATATCTTTGTATGTTTGTAATGAATGTATGCTTATAAGCATATCAAATTTAGCAGTAATAAAAAATAAACGACATAAGTTCCACATAAATGTTATCTATACTTTATTATAAACAGTTTGGCAGTTAATTTACGCAAAAAAGTTGTAAAGAGTTCAAATTTAAAAGTCAAAAAAAGTAAAGAAGTGATAAAGATAAATTTTTACAATACTTTAGATAATGTTGTTGTTTAAACAATTTTAAACACAGCAGTTTTTAGCATTTTTATTATCGATTCTTAACAACTTCTTGGTTCTTTTATGTTCACTTCTTTGTGTCATCTCTTAACTCTTTTATAACCACTTTTTTACATGATACAATCTTTTTTAATGCTTTAATAACCACTTCTTCATGTGATACAATCTTTCTTAACTCTTTTATAACCACTTTTTTTGTGATACAATCTTTTTAGCTCTCGTACAGCTAACCTTACCAATTTCTCGCATAACCTAACTAAACAGTAGCCCATTGCATATAAATTTTTAATTAAAAAAAAAAGAAACAATGCCGTAATAATGCATGACATAAATATTAGTACATATTTCTTCACTGGAATAAAAGTTATATCATTTTTTTGGCTTGTCTTCATAATGATTTTGTTAAAACATTCTTAGTTATGAGAAATTCTTTAAGGATTTTCTCTTATTTTTTGCAATGTTATAGCCTCATTCAACATGACTGCCAATGTGATTGTTCTCGTTTGACATCAGAGCGACTTAATGGATAGACCAAACAATTAATATCAAAGCAAAAAACATTGGATGCCACGTTTTTTCTATCCTATTGTTTCTTGATCTAGCATACTAAAAAATTTAAGTATAATTAAGTTTTTTATTCAAATGTTTTCATTCAATTTTTTTATTCAAATTGTTTTCCAATGTGAAGCAAAAAAAGTTTGGGTTAATAAATCGAATCATATTAAGTAAATAAATCGAATCGTATTAATCACATAAATCATATTAAGTATAAGAATATGCTTAAATTATTTTTATAGAAAAAAAATTTTTTGTACAGAAGTAAGACAATTTAATAATTTAAATTTAAATTTTTTAAAAAAAAAAATTTTTTTCCTCATTCTTTCTTGTTTCTTCAAATTCTTTTAAAATTTTCCAATTTTTTTTTTTTCAATTTTAAATTTCAATCGCAAATTTATTTGAATAAAAGAATTTTAAAAGACTAAAATTCTTTTGTTCAAATAGATTTCTTATAAAATTCTTATAAAATTCTAATAAAATTCCTAAAAACAACTTGCGTATTTATAGAAAATGTTTAAAATGATATCGCTTTAAATAAAATAAAAATATAAAAAAATGGTGTTGCGTTTTTCATATTCTAATTGACAATTTTTGTTAAAATATTTTTTATGTGTTAAGAACATATAAGATATAAATAGAAACATTTATATGGCTAACTTTTGCAAGTCTTTGAGTATATTAATATAATTGATAAATTAATATTTAAGA